CATCGGTGCCAACACTGGTGTTGCTGTCTTTGATGATGATGATGATGTGTATGCACTCATGCAAACGCAAACTTTGTATTTCTGTTCACTTGCGGCTGGGAAACTTGCGGTGACGTGTCTACTGAATAACACCGCCTGGAGACCAAGCAGACCAGTTGAAAGCGTCATCACTGTTCATCCGGTGATCTACTCCACATTTTTTGTATAAATACAACATCGCATTAGCGCGTAGGAATCTGGGCTCATCCACTACCTACAGCATTCACTGATTAGCCACGCTGCAGAACCGTTTTGTTCTCTCCTATTCGGGATATCCATAATCACTATACACCATGTTCGTTGATAAGTCCACGGGGAATCTAACGCGCCCTTCAATTCTGCACTGGCAATGTACTTTGTGCTCTCCTCTTGTCCATGGATCACGTTGTCACCACGATCTTTTCTCGAAACCCATGTTGGGCGTGCCTGCAAAGCCGTGAACGAACGTCTCACATTACATGGTAAGCGTTTGGTCGACCATTATTGGCCTTCTCAAATTTCCTCACCCAAAATATCTCACCTTGTAGTTGTTAGCAGCTCTCTGGTCATGCGCGTGTGCTCTCCGTTCAGGTGGACTCCGCAGTCAAAGGTCACTTCGAGGAGGGGGGGTAGACAACGCTGTTTCATGTGAGAAAGGACTACTCTATCCTTGAGTTTGGTCGCCCTCAGGCTTTAGTTAGGTTATTCGATGGTAGCGGTCGATGTGATCGATTTTTCGCTTGGTGAGATTCACAGGCAAGGTTGCTCACCCAAAAACCAATGACAAAAGCACGACAGTCCATTCTAATACCAACATGTATTTATTGCTGGCTTCAGACGAGCTGAACTGTTTTGTGCCAGCTGATTTTTTGTGCGGACTGGTCAGAAAGCTGTTCACTGAAACCCCGACGTTTCTTCTAATACGAAGATTCACCTGAACATCTACGTATGGGTACACCGTAAGGGATAGTTCCATGGCCCGATCTGTCTGCAGTGCTTTCGTGGGTCGGGGTATAGACTCGCATTGCTTGTTTAACTTGTATAGACTCAATACACTACTCATAAGGTCGCTGAAAACTTCATGACAGCCCACGACCGTTCTCACCCTTCTTTGAAATGTTGGCTGCGTCAACATTATGTTCTACTTGAACCCAAATTGGACAGATTTCAATAAATGCTTTCATTTGCCTCTCATCTAGCATCCATCTGAATTTCTCATTTATGTTGGCGAGATGGCTGGGTGATTAGAGCGCGAATCGATTGTCCGTAAGGATCGTGGTTCGAACCCGACCTCCATCTCCCGACTTCCCCCGTCTGGGCTCGGGCAACCTGGCAGAATCCCAGTCATCGTGCTTCCTTCTGGTGGCACGGAAGTTAGNTGTTATAGCTGGATGATCATCTCGTTTATGAATGTCCGCTTCAACCAACTGTCCTGCACCAGGCCAGCTCATTATGTTCCTAAGAACATCATGAACGAGCGATCCACTTGAGTTCCGGATGAGTCTTTCGTCGAAACCAAATTTTTATGTAGATGAGTGTAACATATGGGTAGGTTGTCATGAAGACACCCGATGATGGGCACTGAACTCGAAGAGAGCACACCACTGGTTTCGATCGAAGGGTTGTTGTGGAGACACATCAAATCCAAACGATATATGTACGAAAAAAATCGAGGGCGGAACCGGTCGTGGGCTGTTGACAGATTTTCAGCAACCTTATGATAGTACATTAGCAAAGATATACAGAGTCGAACATGTTCTGCGTGACCTGGGAGGTGTCGCAGGCTAGAACAAGCCTCGAATTCAAGTGGACGCCCGCGGATACTGATATATTTAGGGTATACACTATAGTCTCTCGCAAAACCAAATTAGTTTGCGAATGAGTGTATATTCGCTAATTTCGTCCAATTTGGTTGCAAGTAGAACATAATGTTGACGGAATCTCGGCGACTGCGTCTACCTGATGAGCCCCAAGAAGGGCGAAACCGGTCGTGGGCTGTCGACGGATTTTCAGCAACATTATGACTAGTACATTAAAAAAGGCCATTTATTGTTCGAACCGAATTTGCTGTAACAGTGACGAATCAACGCACCTGAGACGATGAGTTCTTTCTTCACTGAGGAGTTTTGACACCTTTACCATTCGAGTTTTGTAGGAACAGACAAATTTTATCGTTTTCGTAGAAGACTGCGGGTCATTCTCCACTTAGTTCTAATCCCGGATTTTCATCTGGACTCTTCCTCAGACATTTCTCATCCCATTTCCGTCGATGTCCGGCTCAGAAGACCCATGCACTTACATCGAGACCACAGTAAATGCTCCGAGAAACCCAGCAAAGAACATGATTCAAAAGCGTCCTCGGTCTCTGATATCTACAGTCCTAAGCAAACGGCCGATTGTGAACACTGCTCGCAGCGCGACTCGGAATCCTATAGCAGCGTCAGCCTTTGTGCCCCGGCCACAGAAGAATCGATGGATTTGTCGGATTCAAGCTTACCGGATTTCCCTCATCCTCCCTATCCAATGGCACTGGCCTCTCCGGGAAATTTCAAAAAGTTGCTCCGTGATCGATATCTGTCCAGTCAGCATGAATTTGACCGTGTATTCTCCGCCCCAATCACACCCAATCATGAGGTAGGTCTTGGTGTAATGTTTGACTTTTAAATCCCTTTCCTCAGTTGATGATAAGTTGCATTGGTTTGTCCACCTTGTATCACGTGATCGATGTGATTGGCTGTCTGCTTCGGGACGAAATTACAAACACTGAACGCATCAGCTTTGGAATGCCTGCCATGTGGTAGCTTTTATACGTAACGAACCGTACTGATTGCACATGTTAGCTGGTCCGGCGAAAGCTATCTGGCCGTTAGTGTCCCGAAATGCCAAAACGTTATTTTGTTCGTCAGTTCCAGTCCCTTTTACAGCGGAGTATTCAGTAGACATCATTCGCTCGCTGTTTTTACTGTCCCAAGAACTTCCATTGTGAAATATATGCATGTGACCCTATTAAGAGACCTTATTTGGTCTCTGTACCTAAAGCTGCCACCTTGATGTGGTGGTCGAGCTTGAGTGCTGCAATGCTTCCGCGGGCTACACTGGCTGGAACTTCGTTCCACAAGGTGCAACCATGCCAGGAAGGCCAAAGGGGAGCAGCCAGACCAAGAGCAGCGAGACCCCGTACTACGAGTAATCGTGTTACGAAGCGGTCTGGGGGTAAAGTCGTACTGTCCTCTGCGACAGGAGTGTGAAGTCAGCAAGGTGTTTCCCCCAGACGATCAGCATGTCCATATTTATGGAAGCAGCGATGCTGCCTTCCCCCGAGGAAGGACGGGCTAGAAAAGGTCGGCCCCAAAAACCGCACACTCCGATCGCCCAGCGGTTGACCGTGACCGCCGGCGCATTATCCAATACGGTCGAAATACTTTTAAAGCCAAAGAGCCCGGTGCCTTTCAGAAGGCACCTGCTTTGCGCAGCCGCATCAGGAATGAGACAGTAATGCCTTACTCCTTGCGCCCTCGGGTTAGGCCAACCCCCTGCAGCCGAGCAGGTCAGACTGTTGAGTCGTCGGCTCCGGGCAGGGTCCCCAAAGAAAACCCTACATTCTTCCCCTGCCTCGTGGGTCACACTTTTGAGTCAGAGGCTAGGGTCAGGGTCCCCGAACAAAACCCTACATTCTCCCACTGCCTCGTGGGTCAAACTTTTGAGTGGAAGGCTCAAGGTGGGGTACCTCAACCAAACCCCCTTCCTCGGCCTGGGCAACCGGGAAGTATCATTGGCCCGCGCAGTTCAGCGTCCACCGATGTCCCTCCCCAACCCCTTCCCACTGCACAAACAAACGTCGCTGGGCCATTTGACTGTCAGTCATCTGACCGAAGGGCTTTATGCTCCACGCTGCCTACAAACATTAAACAAAATAACACCTTTCTAAATCCACGAGATCCTTTCTATATAGGAGCTTTTAACTTCGGTATTCTATGTCGAATTGGCAAACAGGCAATGCTTGCTAAAATCTTGTACTCGCTTAAAATTGATGTATGCTGTGTCTCCGAAACATGCATACAAGACCCGAGCGTGGTTGTGCATCTCAGAACGCCAAGGATGAACTCAGCTCTTTCACATGATAATGAGTTGGTCCGCCCATATCCGAGCAGTAATCAGTGGAGTTCGGGGCTTTTGACCTTCTTGGGACCTTCTTGAGTTCGTTCTCTGTTACGCTCGATCTCATTCACGGTCATATTCAACTCCCCCACCACGAAGTTTGTTGTTCCCTCTGTCCTTTTCTCAAGGGGCCGTTATTCTGTGGCCCCCTTTGTGTCTCGTTTTCTAGTTATCCTCACTATCCTGCGTAATAACCTCTTGTCGTATCCAACTTTGTAAAACATTCATTGATGAGTAATTCAGGAGGGTTTTTGACGGATATCAAAGTTTGAATCGTTGACTGGGCCCCTTTATCCATATCATTAAAACCGTGAGAAAAACAATTGATGAAATGTCACTCTCATCAGCATAAAGCATGTATATGGTTAATGAACCCAGTTTTTAAGTCTTGCCCCAGCGGTTCACAAACTCGTCAAGACACTATTCTATAAGCGAGCCACGAGGAAACAGTTCCTACCAGAACATGGAAGTCCGGAATGTTTTGTCGGAACACAGCTGCAACCGAACCTAGAATAGACCCGGCTTCTACTGTTGAAAGGATGGAAGCCTTCTCGCGGGGGTCGACACACAAACCAACACTCGCCCCTGATCGCACTTTTTCCGACATCCAACCACGACTAAGTTAGTTCACCTTGACTCCAAACAAATCAGCCTCGAGAAACAGGATCTTGTACAGCTTACGGGATTTCGCCATTCGTTTGCAGTTGCAGTGAGACTTGCGTTGGCACAATATCTCTCACAGAATCGCAGACCACATTCCACAATATCTGATGCACTCAGTGAGACAACTGTCAGCTAGTGGCCACTCTACTGCCCACGGAAACCCAGCATCATCGATTAGAAGACAGGTCACAGGACATTCCGTTCATCCAGGACAATCATTCGCAAACACCCCGGATGCTAGCGATGCGATGCTGTTTGGACTAAGACAGCCGGTTCTACGTGTGCATTGACTCAGGATGTTGAAATATTGTACCATTGTCATGTGCTACCGTTGTAAATTTGTATGCGTAACGTTCTCCTTCGGGTGCACACTGGTCTAATTGGTTTAACTTAGGGGGGAATCCTCTCCGTTCATTGCGGGGCAAGCTCATTAGCAAGCTGTTTACTGTTTACCGTCATCATGCATTGTTACAGACTGACTAGTGAGAATCCGTTTCTAGGAGAATACCACTCTAATGAATTTACAAGAAGCTAGCAATAGAATTGACGATCGCACAATATACTACTGTCTTAACAAACCGAAAATCTTTCTTTCTCCAGTTATAGCCCGTTATCATACGCTTGCGTCGCCAGACAACCTGTAGGTCAATTATTCGCTGTTATCGATCGATGTACAGGACGCTAGCCGTATTCGAACTTCGGTGTTACCAGCTGTGTTGGAGGATAACGACAACAAATGTTCGCGTATAGGCAAAAACCCTTCGCACAATCGTCCATGATGCATTCCCCTGACAGGTGGTAGCTGGTTCACGCTAGTGCCCCTCACCAAAGTACCTCCGACGACGGAACACCCCCTAGCGCGACCTGGGAACATTTTATTACGTTTGGTGGCGATACAGATTCATACATGGCCAAACGACTGTCTGGTTTGCTAACCAAAATTGGAATGTGTACATGCCTTTCAGTTGAGAATCGTTCAGCTCTAGCACCCTTTGGGTTCCTGACTACCATACAACCAGAAAGATACACTGTGGCGGACATACTGCCAGGTTGCACAAGCCTAGACACGGGAAGTCGAGAGGCAGAGGTCTGGTTCGAACCACGGACCTTCCAGTCACTAGGTTCGCGCTCTAACACCTGAGCGATCTCGCCCTTTCCCGTTGAGAGCAAAACTACTATCCTAGCTTGGGCACACTATCCCAACAAAATAGATTGTTCTAAGTGACACACATGATATTGTATTTATCCCATCAACGGTCGCAGGAGACCGATCGATGGTCAGCACTGACTTAGTGACAACGACCAGTTCGTATGTGAGTACTATTCAGCATTGCGTTTTCTGAAGCAGCTCATATCTCTTGTGAATAGGATGAAGCATTGAAGCATCGGTGTTGAACACTGATGTCATGCTGTCGATATGATGATGATGTTGATGATGAATAGGATGACAAGAATGATGAAAGTTCGCTGGTCACGCCTCAGTTTCCAACCTGTTTCATACATGTCTGTGGTCATCCTGTAGCTACAGTTCCCGTATAGTTTAACCCGGTTTGTATTTATATCAAGTAAGAGCATTTTTGCTGGTTATGAGCTCTGTCACGGTTTCGAAGTGAGCCGAAAGAAGTTGCCAACTCTTACAGGAGATTGCACACGAACTGAGCGAGGATTGCATAGAACGTAGCTGGGGCTGAAGAGAGACAGAGTGGTGTCGATGCCTCGGTAAGTCACGCGGAATCACCTTTGGTAGGGAAACAAATGACTTCTGGCTTTCAGTCTGATGCATCAGCTGATCTCTGATACACAAGGTGGTTTGGGTAAAACATCGAGAGAATCTTGACAAACACGATCCAAGAGTTGGTGTTGAAGGGCGGGTAAACGCGATGGTAGATTCATGTGTTGTCACGCAGCGTTGTGGAGGGATGCTACGCACACTCTACACATTTCAGACGAAAGAACAAATCACTACTGAACCAGATTCACCCCATTTGATTCTTCTTTCCAAATAAATTGGTATGCTGTGTAACCGCGTCGATTGTTGTTCCCCCCTTAGTCTTCAGCGGGGGCTTCTGACATTTTCGATCTCCAGAGTGGCGGTAGAACGGTGGAGGCGCTGCACTGAGCACCGGGTGACAGTTCGTCCTGTCACACCATCTGGAGATCTCCAGGTGCTTATGTGAAAAACGCTGCTGCACGAAGTTTTCACTGTTTTTCAGTGTCGTTTCTGAGTGGTGCTAAGGGCCGTGGTCAATGGAGGGATGCCCCACTCATGTATCCTAAACAAGATTGACGTAGGCATAATATAAGCAATTGTCTCTAGTGCATACATACACTGTCCATTTCGTCAAGTAAGCAAACGAATTGAATTCCACAACAAAAACCTATTCATCGTTCTTATGGCTTCGTGCAACCGACCGATACATGTGCGGTCTCGCTCCAAGCGATTGAAGTGAAGAAATGCAAGGAAAAAAGCATGTACGAACGTGCATATTTAACCTTCTTTGTATGTGACACTTGATTGATGGCTCCCCCTCTGTTCGATAAACAATGTACTCTGGTCGTGACCTGCAATCCTGTCAAGCGCAATTTCGGCCCTACCGGTGTTTCTTTCATCAAGACCATCATCGACATCAGTGTTCAACACCGATGCTTCACTGCCGTACAACCATTATTTATTTGAAAACCTTATTGTAAAGAAAAGAGTAAAGGTGGACGTGGAAGGGGCTTGGTGCTAGCTTACCACAATCATTCAGAGGTGCCTACACCTCCAGACATTCACTCAGGCAATCTGGATAGAAACTGACAACAAGAACGCCACTGACATCGGTTGGCAGCCATATCTTGTAGTGTCTCCAACCAGGCACAGTGAGGATCACGCGGTCCCCATCCTGGAAGGCGAGTAGCACCGACAGCACCCAAGCGTTTCGTGATCTCCTTCATACTCCTCTGCCAAGTCAAGGGTTGGCCACCTCTCTGTTTACGCCACTCTGAATTGGGAATGGAAAACAGCACTCTTTTCGGAAAACGATGGTTTGACATGCGCAACGCATTTCCCAACCAACGCAGCTTCTGCTGCTGGACACATTATTCAATCGAAGTACCCGTTACACAACCGAAAATACGCTCTCTAACCGCCTCGTTACGGATTCGCCGACACTAACCCACACGAGCTATTGTTCTGAGAACGATTGTCGAACTCCTGAAGACGTATCAGTTCCGCTGCTCGAATAGGCCAAGTCTCACAGCCATACAGCAAAACAGCCCTTACTGTAGTTTGATACACACGTCCCTTGAGATTCATGGATAAACCATTCTGACGCCATAGGTGTTTCTAATTAGCAAAAGCGGATCGAGCCTTGCAGATTCGTGCATTCACCTCATCTGTCACACTACAATCAGAACTAATACAACTTCCAAGATACGTAAAACGCTCCACAACTTCCAGTGTCTCTCCCTGGATTGTAAGTGGATTGTTCAGTGACTGCACTCCATCAACACCAGAATGATAACTCTCAGATCCCCATGACCATTCTGATCGTATCTACGTCGTCTTCAGGACAAGTTAAGATACATTCCACTCACACACAGAGATTAATTTGGACTACATCCCGTCATTCATACCGGCTATATCTATCCGAGGATTATCTCTATTTGGTGTGCCACGCAGGAAATACCAACGGTGTGTGGTTTCTTGGAATCCACAGTAGCGCGCGTCCCCTAGTGTTAGTTGAGATCAGTTTTTCAGGTGGACATCTGTGTTCCGAGCTGCAGCTGATGCGTCTTTGTTCACCGAGGACAAGGGAACGAAAGACACGCGTTGGGGACCCAGTCAGTTCACTGATGTCTGGTATGGAAGGAGGTAAGGAAGCCACGCAGTAGAAGCGATACCTTTGATGGAAGACTGCCGTTGATTGCATCACACTGTCATATCCATTAGGGTCTTGTCCCGCAGTTCCCATCCAGGGAGACATCATTTACGAACGGAAATGAGCAGACTGGTAAGAGCCACGGAATGACCACCTCTGAGTTTTCCTCATCAGACGAATGGAGCTCTACAAGGCAAGTGGTCCTGTGACGTACGAATTATGCGGTCTAACCAACGCAACCTGTGGCCAACTGATCTATCGAGACAGAATGAACTTGTCTGAAAATCGTGTGGCATATCTCACTCAGCATTACTGATGTACTATTCCCGCCAGAACTGCGCCACACTTCGATGACAGAATCTTGGGAGTTTTTCCGCACGCGGTGCCAAGTCTCCGATCAATAAGGTAGAACAGTTCGAACCACAGCATTGTACACTAGGCCCAGCTGATGTCACTTTGGTGCCACAGATTTCGGAAGTCAGTAAACGCCTTCCTGGCCTCCCCAATTTGTCTTTCGTTAGATAGACTAGCTTATCCACTAATCCTATCCGTTCGCTTGCAAACCTGTGCTTTGTTTACGGTCCTACTGTACGTTACACTGTACAATTGCGAAGTGTACATTTAACCGTGCAACTGCAGAGTCTGGTACAAGAAAAGCAATACCGTTGGGTACTCAATATCGGTGAGTGAACGCCCCGGAACTATTTCGATCCCTGAGTTGTTAGAGGCAAATAGAGAGGTCTCAAACACTATATCAACCAGGAAGGTAAACAGAAGGCGTGACAGAGTACATTCATGGCTGACACCACTTGATGTGGTTAATTCAGGAGAGAATTCGCCGTAGACACGTGCACATCAACATAAATGACAAGAATTTCGAAGGGACATCTCTCATCTGTCATCATACGCAGCCGCGGCTGATCAACACAGTCAGACACGGATTTGAGAAAACGAATGACGACCATCGCCGAAAGGATCAGGTCAGTCCCAATAGTTGCTGCAGCGCGAAAGTATGGTCGACGCGACTTTTGCTAGGGCGAAACCCTGCCTAATTCTCTGATTATCCCGATAATGGCCCACCTCCATAGGGTAACACCAGAGAGTATCTTGAAATTTATGGCCACTTGATTGATAACCAGATGGTTTTCGCACAATCTTCTTCCACGAGTATGGAAATCGCCGTCGAAGCGCTCCACTCTCTTGGAACCTTTTCCTCACCTCAGATACTTTGAAGTGGAGTCGTCAGGACAGCTACGAACGACCTGCTACCATCTTCGAAAGTTGCATTATTCAAACTAGGTGGTTTGTTGCGTTGAATTACGACTTACGTTGCCGATCGCGAACTGGTACCGACGTTCCACTCGGATTCATTTGGTCCTTTCAGAGGTTGAGTTGGTGGGGGGCAGCTGAAGTGTTCTTCAGAGTTTTCAGTCCATCGTTAAAGACGACGTTCTTTCTCAACCTCAGGGCTACCGTCTGCCGGAGCGTATGTTGATGCAACAAACAGACACCATTTACCACATCGTGGTCTATTGCAAAGACGACTAGAATCCAGTCCAGTAAAGCACATTCAGCCATGGGACTAAGTACAACTCTGATGAGCCGTTGCATCCGAGTCACCCGAAGGGTATATCTGGGTTCGTCCCGAGCGATTCTGTATGCGTGTTTCGGAGGCACAGTATCGTTCAGCTGTAACACTTTCGGTGCCTAGCTGCCATGCCACCCGTAGGAAGCACGAGGACTGTGATACTGCCAGGTTGCCCAAGCCTAGACAGGGGAAGTCGAGAGGTCGGGTTCGAACCATCGCACAGTCTACGTCATCAAAAGGTAGAACAAGGTTTTGGTAAGATTCCGAAAATCCCCATTTATAATAAGAACACAGATGGGTTGACGAACATGTTTTCGGTAAGGTCTTTTCAAGTCATACAATTGCAAAGGGTAAGAGATCAGTATTTAACACATTTGAATGAGTATGGTGTAAATGGACAGGGGATCGAGTGAGATGACATTGGCTACCTATCAAAGAACCACTAGTTCAGGTCGCCAATAGGATGACTTGAGCTAGTCAGCTCGGGGGGTGTTGTAGTTGTGTGTTCAGCACACGATGCATGTGTGGGGGGAGGTGAGTTGGACCATGGTAAGTACAACACACGAACAAAGCGTTTTTGCCGACAAAGGATCGGGTCGCGATGTCGTATGGCGATAGCTTCAGCCACTGCAATTGTGCGCTGCTGTACTGATCTGGGTTGGTTAGCCGGCGCCTTGTAAACAACGCGGAAACTTTGGCTGGGTATCACGTTGTGTGCAGTGTCAGCTAAATGTTGTACTACGGAGCTGGTTATCGTCCTCCTGGTTCCAGAAGCTAGCCAGGGTGGATTGTGTTCCTTCATTCTTTGGCTGAGTTGCCTAGTCGTGCGTCCGATGTATTCCGCTGCACAGCAGCAAGAGAATGAGTAAACTAACATATTTTGGGCGTGGACCGGCACTCTATCCTTGAGATTAAAGGGGCACAAACGATTGCTGGTGAACCAGGTTCGGAGTTTTGCGGCCGGGAAAACTTTGTTCAGACTGGTGGAAAGTCTTCTGTTCAGTAGATCGGCCGGTATATCTCCCTTAAACGGGAGGTTAATGTAAACTGGTTTCCTTCCAGCTGTGGCTGTGATGGTGTTTGCTTCTTCCCTGTTCAAATGTTTTGTAATAAATTTGTCGGGGAATCCATTGTCTCTCAGGACGTTGGTGAGAGTTTGGAATTCTTGTTCCAGTGCATCCTCAGAGCATATTTTCTTCGCTCTGTTAGTTAGGCTGCGGATCAGGTTCCGTTTCTGCTTTAGTGGCACGAAGCTGCTAAAGTTGATGTATTGACCTGACCAAGTAGGTTTTCGGTAGACCGATCCTTTCAGTGTACCATCGTGACGTCGTTCAAGGCCAACATCTAGGAAGTGGAAAAAGTTGTCGATTTCTCCTTCCGAGGTGAATTGAATGGCAGTGTGGGCCTTATTGAACTCTTGTTGGAGTGATAAGTGTTGGAGTGGTAAGAGCTACTTGTTGCCCAGTTGGTTACAGAGTACGGGCGAAAGCAGGGCCGCTACCACCATAAATATGGACATGCTATTCACCTGGATGTTTTCATCGCATACATCAGTATGACTTTATTTACCGGGCGCCTAGTAATACGATTTATCCGGGACAGGATATTCTGCGTCGTCTTCCCTTGCATGATTGAATCCGAGAAAATTGAGGTTCAGGCAGTTTGGTCCGCAGAATCACTGCTCTAGTTCGGGATGAACTGAAATCGAGTGATCTTCGTGATCGGTTTTGTATTCTGGGAATTCCGATGGAACAGCAATTAGTCACACCACCCACAAAGCTGTTGGAAACTCTTCGGCAGTCCATCACTGGTTTCACCTTTGTTGTGACTCATCAGATCAGCGCACTCCTGGAATTCTCATCCACTTTACGTTCCATTTGAACCCAGTGTACTTCTAGTTAACACCAAAATAGTTTGCAAGCGAGTGTATTTCTCCAAATGCTCACAAATTAGGTTCAAGTGGAACACAAGATTGATCAAAACTTGTGGGCTGCACCAGCCTGATGAACTTCGGGGGGCGAGATGGCCCAAATGGTTAGAGCGCGAATTTACTGACCGGAAGGTTCGTGGTTCGAATCCGACCTCCGTCACTCGACTTCCCCTGTCTAGGCTCGGGCAACCTGGCAGTATCCTAGCCCTCGTGCTTCCTTCGGATTGCATGGCAGCTCTCTTTTCTTCTTTTTTCTGATGAACATCAAGGGAGGCGAGACTACTCGTGGGCTGTCGGAACGTTTCCTTCAGCCTCATGAGTGGTTTATCTCATCTAGACAGCGCACTGCGCCGTCGTGAGATCAAGATGGGATTCATTTGAGTGCTCATTTCGCACCAACCGAATTTGCACGCACACACGTATTGAGCCAGTCGAGTTTTGTTCAGGTTTTCCAAAGCGGCCAATGCATTGACATCAAACTACTGTCAAAATATACCGCGATTACAAAGCAGAGTCGTATCACTTCCCATTGGA